AAGGGGAACAGACAAGTTGCTGTCATTTTGTTCTTCAGTCTAGTTGTGGAGGACGTTGCTTCACTGGCCCAAGTTGGCACCATCATTGTGCTCTTTCCGGGCGAGGCAGATCAGTCGCCAGCCTCTGGACGGCCGCTCATGGCGGCTCTTGGCAGCTCACACCGGCTGCCAGCCACACATGGTAGCTTATGGCAGCCCACTGCAGCAGGGGCTGCCGCCTACGCCATTGCCAGCGACTCACGGCAGCCCAGCTCCAGGTCGAACTGTTGTTCAGCATCTTAGCTGTAGAGGGCAGTGTCACTGGCCCTCATATATGGGATCCAAACCGGGGCCCTGCTGCTCAGAGCTGGCATCCCAAGCCAGCTCTTAACCAATGCGCCACTCGGCCAGCCCTCTATTATCTTCCTGCTTTTACTGTTGCTTTTCAGAAGTTAAAGAGCCAGTAATATTCTTGATGCTTTGGATGCTTTGTAAACTCTGTTCTTTGTCCCGTGTTCTGAAATTTCACAGTGATGTATCATGGAATTAGTCTGTTTTCATCATGGTACTGGGCATTTGGCAGGCCCTTTCAGTATGGAAATGCATGTTCTTAAGTTCCAAATTATTTTGTTGATGCTTTCCTTCCTCAATGTTCTTTGTTCTCTTTCTGGATGCTGGATCTTCTGGACTAGTTGTCTAATTTTATTTCTCCTCTCCTGTTTTCCCTCTCTCAATATTTTGTTTCCCTTTTTTGGGAGTTTTCCTCATTTTTACTTTCCAGCCCTTCACCTGAGTTTTCATTTTTTAGTATCCTGTTCTTATTTCATGGATTTGCTATCATATCTCTGAGTATAACATTGCGTAGCTTTTTTGGGCAGTCTTTTTCCCTAAGGTGCTCTTTTCTGATTTTTGGTCTGTTTTCCTCAGATATTTGGTAATCCTAGGATGTCTGCTCACAGTTAAGAATGGAAAACTAAAAAGTTAACTGAAAGCTGTAAGCATGTGAATAGGGTATATGACTTTGAGCTTCACTATAAGGTGATCTGGGTGGGACATTTGTTGGGGAACCCTACATGTGATCATATTTAGGATTTTACCTTTTTCACTGGCCAGATTGCTCTGCCTAGTGGATAAAGACCTGGCTGCCAAAGTTTTGGGAGCAGAAGGAGCATGTCAGTTAATTGCCCCTTGTTTTCACTATGGAACTCATACCCTCTATCCCTCAGTCTAAGCATCTTGTTTTAACTGCTCTGGAAATTGTACCCTTAGTCTTCTGCTGGTACAAGGTAGAGGTAGTTGCCTAGCAGCATGGAGTGGGAGAGATCTGGAGAGGTGATGGAAGAGTCATGACTTCAGTTGATGTGTACAGTAATATAGCAAAAGGTCTCATCTGAATGGGGGGAGGAAGGGAACCAGACTGGCTTTTGGTAGATAAAACATCCACTGAAAGTCTTCGTAGTTTTTGCCTTTACATTTTTTTATAGTCAAAGCCCAGTAAGTTTGTGTCTTAATAGAGTAACCTTTAATTTCCAAAGGTAGCTTAATTTATCACAGGATGATACATATACTCAAACCTGTGAATGATTTTCTCTTTCTAAACATTGAACACATTCTGTAGTGTAAAGAATTATGCTGATTTTAAGTAAATTTTTGGTTTCTCATTATCCAATCTATTTATCTTTACATGATTATTCCTTTTAATCTAATACTCTATGGATATTTTATTTAATACAGACATTTCATGTAAATTACCTGTAACAAATGATTCTATAGTATTTAGATTGTTTAGGGAAACTAAAGCAAGTTCTCAAAAACCTATAATATAGTATTTTTTGGTATAAGATGTTATCCATGATTTTACCTTTGGATATAGCTATATTTAAATATGAGTGTGATTACTGGGACAGTACCCAACCTGTCTTATTATATGCCTCTCCACTAATTAAAATTCAAAGTATTCATCTTCTCCCCTTAATCCCTTTCTCAACAAATGATAATTGAATACTTTGAACACAGAATGTTTTTCTTTCTCTCAAGAAATTATAGACCAGTTAAAGAGACAAACCTGCACAAATGGAGCAAAGTAAAAATGCATTTTATTTTATTTTATTTTTAAAGATTTTTATTGGGGAATTGGGGGAATGGGAACAGACAAGTTGCTGTCGTTTTGTTCTTCAGTCTAGTTGTGGAGGACGTTGCTTCACTGGCCCAAGTT